AAAAAAAAAGACAAACAAACCCCAAAACAATTCAACAGCAAACAAACAAGCAAAAACATTTAGATCATTAAGTGTGACTGCCTGGTTTATAGTCGGCTGTGGGCACAGACAGCTGGAGAAACGACAGCTGATTAGACATTCCTGCTTTACATCTGGGCACATGTGTGCCTGGTGCATAGTAATGTAAATTCTCCACAGATGAGTCTCCACAGACACAGAAACCCCCCTCAAAAAACAGACAGGCATGTGGACCCTCGTTCTTACTGTATGTCACAGACACCTAAGCGTCCCTGGACTCAGGGACACAGAAAGTAGAAAACCTGCTTTTAAGCTGTGCCTTTTAGCTTCATAGTTCAACTAACCCTTCCAGGCAGCTCTTATTTGTGTGGTGACAGTAGATGAGACGACACATTAGGTTTATTAACAGTTGTAGCTCAAATCCGTGATGTTTAAACCAAGGAAGGGGGTTAATTTAAGCCCAGCTGGGCTTGAAATACACTTGTGTAAACCCTAAAGATGACGTTGATGATGAAGATGGTAAGTTTATGCCTTGAGAACAGAAACTGCTGCTTGGCAGTTAAAGCTGGTGCCTGAAAATGCTCACAAAGCTGACTACATTCAACATTATTTACGAAACAGATGAGAACAAATTATTAGCTCTCCTATGAAATTTAACCTACTAGGACCTGGCATCCACATATATAGACATCACATTTTGGGGTGTCTAGACCAGTGGTTCTCAAACTTTTCACAGTGAGTACCACTTCATAAAATATATGGCTCTTGAAGTACCACCCTTACGGCCGAAATTGAAGTACAGTAGTATAGGCCTATTTAACACCACATACAGTTTACACAAGACAATTTTATTTCTTATATGAATGTTATTTATTTTAACTGTCATAAACAGGATGTGACGAATGATAATAATAACAACTGTACTGTATTAAAACATTCACAGCAGGTGGGATATCCAATCTTTAAGTGAAGACCTGATGAAACCTGCTTCCGGGTCCAAACTACTCTTCATTTATTATGTCTGCTGTGTTTTTAACATGTTTTAATGCTTTGTATCTTGTTCTATTTAATCTGAACAAGCCCATAAAAAAAGTTATCACTGTTGGCCTCTCTCAGTTTTTATCATCACTATTCATTTTAAAGCTCAGTTTTTAAAACCTTACGATGTAACGACAGCCCAGCCCATGCAGCAGTATCCAGGAGAACAACTGCAATATAAGGCTAGTCATTAATAGATGACTAGCCTTATATTGCAGTTGTTCTCCTGTCTGAAGTTTGGTCCATTTACTGGAGTTCATCCTCCAGTATTACTGTGTTTATATTATGCTAACCATAGCTGTGTAGCCCACAGATCATTATATACCAGCTAGCCCAACTTCAGTAACCCTACAAACACCACTGCTGTTTAGTTTTCTGTCTTCATTTATGTCGTAAGTGATAGCAGAGCTGTATGTCTTAATTTTTGCTGTGGCGGTTAAGCTGCTGAACCTCCTTCGTGGTTCGTGCACGTCAAAGCTCACTTTGCTCTTCATGGCGTTTCAGCCGACGACACGAAATACCATCATGTGGTGGCCTCGCTGTCTACCCGCTGTGTGATGACCCTCCTCCAGGATCCGCCCACCCAAGCGAAATACACCGCTCTCAAGGCTCTTCTGGCTCCGGCTCCCAGAAGAGCCTCGGGAACTTTCGTGTCGTCTTTGCATACCTCTACAATGGTATATTATTTAATCTTTAAAAAACTGGGAGATTTCCCACATACCACCAGAGAGAGCCCAAGTACCACTAGTGGTACGCGTACCACAGTTTGAGAACCACTGGTCTAGACCACAATACTAAATTTTGCTCTACAAGGGCCTGATATCCACTTACAAGGACATTATACTGCCACTGTTCTATTGAAATTTAAAACGAATGTCCTCATATCATTTTTCTCAGAAACGACATCAGGTAAAAAGACAATTCTGTATTTTTACATTCATCAGGTGCCAATCAACCCAAATCGGAAAGAGATATTAAAAATGCATGCCATGAAAGAGTCTGGGTCTTAGGAGCTTAAAGTAACTTTTTCTGAGAATCCTTTTTAAAGGCTTGAAACTTTCCTTTTTGATAGTTTATAGTAAGGGCTGGATTAGGTGCCCCAGAATCCTCCCTTCGTTATGCTGCACTGGTGGGCTTCCCATGATGGGCTGAGTGTTTCTTCGTCACTCACCTTTCCCCCTCACTATGTGTTTGCACACCACTCTGCATTTAATTATTAGTCATTATTCCTCTCTGGCTCTCTTCCACAGTGCAATTTTTGCCCCGTCCTTCTCCCCTTATTTCCAATCAGTCGCGGCATATAAAGTGCCTCAAGGTGACTTTTGTGATTTGGTACCATATAAATAAAATACAATTTATCTGAGTAACTGACTATTAGCTATTATAAGGAGAGGTAATAATGCTGATCTGGTAGTTTTTGGTGTCTGTGATGTAATTGTGTTTCTGTGTGCAAAGTAAAATAATGTAGGGATCCTAAATAAAATTAGAAAGTTTGAATAAGCTGTGATAGAAATGCATTTCTTTGTTTAAAAGCACTTGGGAAATTATTTTTAAAAAATTGTCAATTTTCATAGGAGAGCAAATAATTATAAAATAATAAATATATAATAATAGTTGTATTATATAGGTTTATTATTATTATAATATAATCATAGTTGTCAAACTCAATCTAATACTTTTTACCTTACAGTTATTTTTTAAGACAAACATGTCTTGATATATTTTCACTTTTGATCTGCATTTCCTTCACAAGTGCACTGCGAGCACACATTTATATGAAATTTTAGTCTAATATATTTGGTCATTAAATTTAGGTTCAATAAAATAATACACTGGGTAAAACTGGAGACTTACATTGAGGGAGAGACTAGGACCTCTGTGCATGTTCCACCTCTGGGACTCTGCTGAGCCTATATGACTGACACACATATATCATATTTGAACAGTCACATGATACAAAGAAAGAAATCAACTACAACATGACAATAAGATACTTACCTCATGGTTCTTGAACGATGCGTAACTAGAAAAAAAAGAAAAACACAAGCTCAACATGAACATGAACCAGAAACGATTAAACTAAGCATCAGCGGTCAAACTGTAACACTTCAATCAACACAAATCACTGGGGTTACCTGGGGAGGTGACAGCCACAGGGAGGGACATCCTCTGAGTTCTGTAAATGAATGGGTTATTACTGCTTCATTTAAAAACTACAAATGAAGTGAACATGTTAAAATGAAAAAGAACTTTTACCCTTCAGTTTGAAATTGTCCTGGAGAGAGCTGCAGAGCAGAAGAAGATTCATTCAGATGAATCTTTTTGGTACTCTTGTTTTAAAAATTAGGCTTTTGAAGACTTACCCTCCATTGTGAAAGTGGCTTTTTCAATTCCATAGTTTCTTTCTTCACCTCTAAAAGCTGCTTTTTTAAGTCAGCATTCTCTCTTTGCAGGTCTGAGAGTTGCCTTGGAATAAGAGAAGAAGAAGAAAAACACTGCGGTTGGATGGTTTTATTTACACTGCCACAGAGGAAATAACAGCAGACATTAAAATCACCTGTAACTCTGCTCGGTGACTTCTTTAAGGCGTCTTTCCAATTCAGCAGACTTGTGCTTGAATTGTGCCATGACTCTCTCCATCTGCATCTGCTGAAAGATGACAATCTGGGAACATGAAGACATTGTTACTAAATGATAATTCTGTGAAAAATGAACAAATCAAGTTTGACTAGTGGGCAATAGCTCAGAGTTTCCCAAATAATCATAGCAGAGAGATGCATTTCATTTTTCAATCTGTAGCTAATGACATACCAAGTTAATAGTAATTGACTGCATACACTGGCATTTAACAACCCGCTATAACAATTAAAAGGCACAGAGGCAATGGGGCTTGAAGTGGCACGATCTGATATCGTCGTGTTGGTGTTGTTCCCACATCATCATAATAAATGTTGTTCCAGGTTCAACATTGCAAGTGACCAATCACATTGTTGTGACGTAATACTTTTGCGAGTTTGGAAAAAAACGCTGTAAATAAAAATCTAAGTAACTTGCGAGAAACCGCCTCTGTCCGCCAATCCAGCAATTTGAATTCTTTGCATTTCAGGATGCTGTTCTTTAATAAACGGTAAGCATTATACATATTGTCCTTGCAACATTGGAATTTCATAAATGAATGAATGGCTTGGCTTGCAAAAGTATTACGTCACAACAATGTGATTGGTCACTTGCAATGTTGAACCTGAAACAACATTTATTATGATGATGTGGGAACAACACCAACACGACAATATCAGATCATCCCTTGAAGTGCATGCTGCCTGGCAGGGACAGACCTGACACATGTGCTCTAGCCGTGATTGGATGAGCTTCACTGGGTCGTTGAAAAACATTTTTTCCTGCGGCTTCATCTGAAGCAGAAATACATCCACATGACAAAGAATGTTGGATGTCTGAATTAAAGTCAAACAGTAAGCTGCTTTGATTACGTCAGACTCACCAACCTCATTGATAGCCAGATAGCTGCAGCTGGCCCCACATACAGTGCACGGATCTAAAGCAGATGGGGAGGGTTTTTTTTTAGCAGCCTCAAACTTTGAGTTGCACTGCATCACAGTGGAGACATACTCATGAGGAAGTCTAGTTACAGCTCAGAAGCAAATGAACTCTCTCACTTGATTTAACGCATGCTTCACAGAAAATGTGGCCACAGCTGGACGCGGCAAACGTGGATCCTCTTCTTTTGAAGCACTGGTTACAGTGGAACCAGACCATTTTTGTGTGTTTCCTAAACACACACACACACAAAACAATCAAACAGACACAAGGTTATTGCCCAGTTTACTGCAGAAGAACTGGCCCTTATTTACCTCCCCTTCTTTTTGAGCCAGAATAAACTGTTGCACACGCACCTGTCTTTAATAGTTTCATGGGACTCTTAAAAAAAAAACAGCTGTGATCTTATTATCTGCAAGACCCCCATCAGTGCAAAATTTTATACCACACTCTTTTTGTACAGCTTTTTTTTTTCCGTCCTCATATTACACACTGGTAGCTGCAGGTAGTCCAACTTAGAAACAGAACTTATGTGTTGTCTTGCACACAACTCAAAATTACTCACATGAAATAATTACATAAAAGCCAAACCAGAGTTCAAAGGTAGGAAGGATAAAAGGTGATGGAAAAGGAGTAGCATGAGAAGAGGAAGCCCAAGAATAGTAATTTCAGATGAAACATGTCCAACTGTGGTAGAGCATGTTTTTCTTCTGGGAGTGGTTGGTTAACAAAACATTTTGAGGGGATTTTTTTATTTCCTTCTGTGTATGCTTTAACGTCATTCCTGCGTGTACAGTGGAATCTTTTTTTTTTTAACTTTATTAATCAAAATACTCAGTCTGCAGAGGCTTTCACGAGAGACGTCGGGGTTTTATTCGAGCTTAACAATGCATATTTCAGTCTTTATATTAACTTATCAATTTGTATCCCTTCATTAAAAAAAATACTGAACAGAAGTAATTTAAAAATATATTCTCAATGAATCCCTCTCAGTTTCCTCAATTACTCACTACAAAGGTGACTCTGACATTAAGCTAAAAAAAATGGCTTTACTCACTGAAAACTAAGTTAAACTCAAACTGTCACAAAGTATTAGCTTGCTAGCTAATTAGCTTAAGTTGTAGAAAACGGCGCTCAATCAGCCAAACAACTGGAAACACTGGACACTGGCAAAACACTAAAAGAAAGGACCCTCATATTGGCTTCCTTTTTTTAGGTGTCTTTCTAACCTTACCTGCTACACGGAGCCGCTGCTTTGACACAGGAGCAGTTAGCTCAGCAGTCCCCGCCTCGGGAACCCGGTCTGTGTTGTGATTGGCTAATGAATGATGACGACACTTTCTCTTAAAACCAAGATCCGATATTAAAGTGGAAACGTTTAGAATAAGACCGTGCTAGAATTTACTATACACAACTTCTGTGTCTCAAACAGCAGTCAAGGATATCATGCCTACCATCTCCAGTTTAATCAGTGTTTGGCTATAAATATTCGGAAGAATTTCTTGTCCGATTAACATAAGACGTGAGGAAAACGGGGACGCCGTGAAGCTTGTAAGTGCCCTTTGTTCCCAGGAATCTCTCTAGAAATACACTGCTCAAAAAATGACGGGAACACAAAAATAAGACATCCTAGATCTGAATAAATGAAATATTCTTATTAAATACTTTGTTCTTTACACAGTTGAATATGCTGACAACAAAATCACAAAAACTTTCAATGGAAATCATATTTAGCAACCCATGGAGGTCTGGATTTGGAGTCACACTCCGTATGAAAGTGGAAAAACACACTACAGGCTGATGCAACTTTAATGTAATGTCCTTAAAACAAGTCAAAATGAGGCTCAGTGTGTGTGGCCTCCACTTGCCTGTATGACCTCCCTACATCGCTTGGGCATGCTCCTGATGAGCTGGCAGATGATCTCCTGAGGAATTCCCCAGACCTGGGCTAAAGTTCCTGCCAACTCATGGACAGTCTGTGGTGCAACGTCACGTTGGTGGATGGAGCAAGACATGTCCAAGAGTGCTCAATTGGATTCAGGTCTGGGAACGGGCAGGCCAGTCCATAGCACCAATGCCTTTTTCTTGCAGGAACTGCTGACACTCCAGCCACATGAGGTCTAGCATTGCCTCACATTAGGAGGAACCCAGGGCCAACTGCACCAGCATATGGTCTCCAAAGTGTTCTGATGATCTCATCTGTGTACCTAATGGCAGTCAGGCTACCTCTGGCGAGCGCATGGAGTCAGTTTCTGATTGTTTGAGCAGACACACACACACACACACCCCCACCCTGAGCCACTTATGTGGGTTGTAGACTCCATCTCATGCTACCACTAGAGTGAAATCACCCCCAGCATTCAAAAGTGACCAGAGCATAGGTACGGAGAAGTGGTCTGCTGTCACCACCTGCAGAACCACTCCTTTGAGGAGGTCTTGCTAATTGCCTATAGTTTCCCACCTTTTGCCTATTCCATTTGCACAACAGCATGTGAAATTGACTGTCAGTGTTGCTTCTTGAGGGACAGCAGTTCAAGTATGCTGGTGGTATTGCCTAGAATTCATATAGCATATTTAAAAACAACATTTGACAAGCCTCATTTATAGTGACTTTTATTCCATGTACTGGAGTCTTTAGTCAACTCACAGCTTTCTTAGAATTAGTTGTCCCATTAGTGGCAAAAATGCATGCCTTTGGATTTTGCTAGTTTGTATTTTAACATTGATCGCTCAGTACATTTTTGAATAACTGAATTAAAAGACACCCATGAATACTTAAAGGCAAGTAATTTATTTATGCAGCTTTGATACAATTGCACAGATCTGAAATGCAAAGAAGCACCAACAGCCTGGAAGTTAAAAAACCTCAGATGAGCCTGAAGTCACGTGGATGGAGCCATTCGAGAACAGGATGTTTGTACCACCATTTCAAGGAGAAGCTTGCCTTAGTGACTCATTCTAATCCGTGATAGTGAGTGGACCAAGGACTACGTTTTGTACTGCACCATGCTTCCCTGTGGGGAGAAAAAAAAATAGCTTTGAGTCCTGTACAGCAAGACCACAGTTATATTAAAAAAAACAAACAAAAAAAAAGTAGAAATGTATACCTGTCACTAGATCCCTCGTCTTTCTGGCCTTGCAGCTGGACTCACAGCAGTCACATAGACTGTTGTGTGTAGGGTCGTCAAGCAACTCCCAACTGAAGTAGGCAGGAAGAAATAATCACTGAGCTTCTGCCGATTCCAGGACAATTTAGTCATAGCTCAGCATTCAAGCTGAACTACAACATATCCAGTACTACAAACTACAGAGTCAAGTAAACGTTTTACCCATAATCTTTGATGTAGTGGCAGGCCTTCTTAGTATTGCCAAGTCCGTTGGGATCCCAAGCCACAAGGCTGCAATGAATAAACACCTGCAGGATGCATCGTATTCCACAATTAACCAACAATCTTCTTCGTTTCCTACATTCAGTTCTTGCAGTTAAAGATATTTACCTCTCCTCCCACAGCAAACTTAAAGGCTTGAAGGGATAGCCGGATCTCTGAAGTCTTTTGCCTGGGTTCAAATTTTGAGCGCGATTTCTTACTGTCGACAAGACATCTGAGGTTCAAGAGAAACAGATTATTTCAAGGTCTAGTCAACAAGAATACCCAAGTCAGTGCTTCTTGATAGTGCAAGTTTACCCCTTGTTGGTGATTAATGGGTATAGAGAACTTTCAGGCTGCAACTCAGGTGTGGTGGCAGCGACACATTCATCAATGAGTAGCAGCAATGGCTGATGGGTCTGCTGCTCCACGCTAGCCATGATGGCGATGATTGAGCCCAGAGGGAATCTTGTAGATTCAGCAGGGCCTGAAAAGTTAGCTAGATTTACACAGAACAAGGTGAGTCGCAGGAATGTTTAGGACTGCTTCTATTTTCAGGCACTTTCAGATACCCACCATTCATGAGTCCAATATGAAATACTAGTTCTTCTAAACCATAGGTACTAAACACTGGCTCATAAACCAGGGGGTACCAATCTCTGGGCCTGCATGAAACAGGTTAAAAGGTTGCATTTTTTTTTTATTAAACATACATTTGCTTTTTTGTTCAGCATTCCATGTTACAACATGTCCACTTGCCTCTCAAATTCACAGACAATCAAGTCAATGTACGAAGGGATGACAGAATTAGGTGGGGTAATGTACGTCAGGTCATTGGCGTAGATTAGTCGTTTGCCAGTAACCTGTGGGGAGGAAAGATGAGTCACCAACCTGTAGGGATAGACGGTTCTTTCATGCACGTAGTTCTGGGCTACTCACAAGCCTCCTGAAGTTACAGTCATTGAAGTCCACAGTGAAAACAGCTTCCCTGTCTGTGAGGCTTGTGGGAAAGCAGCTGCCCAGACGGAGCAGTGAAGTGTCCATCTGAGATCTACCATCTGTCCACACCAGTGTCACAAAACCACCTTTACAATCCAGTTTCATGTCTAAGTAGAGAGGGAGGCAGCAAAGGGGACAATTAAAAAAATAAAATTCTTACCCTTAAATTCTAAAAAAAAAAAAAAAAAAGAAGCCATTTCTCATTTAGACATTACCTGCATTTACTGAACCTCTTGCCACCAGGCCCAAAACAGCTACACAATACCAAAGGGAGGCCATGATGACTGAACACTTGGTGCTGGTGCCACTGGTGTTTTTATTCTCTTACTGGGGACAGACTAATCAACAAAACCAGGTTCACCTGCTGTGTGTTCGCAGCTACAGGTGCAGCAGCAACAAGGTGTTTGCAATAAAGAGTTCAGTTGATTTTGATGTGATGTGAGTCACATGATGCAAATCTTAATATTTGTCCAGTTTAGTCAGTTTCACATCACATTACGATCATGAAAGCAGTAGTACTGTAGTCTGAGAAGGTAACGAGATGTTATATCAGTATGTGGCAATATCAGATATAGACAGTCAAATTCAGAAAACAAAACCGGAACATTTACAGCCGGCTTGTTTTACGTCATCTCACAGAGCGCTTTAGTATTAAACTCAAACAGAGTCAAATGCCAGGGAATAAAAATAAGTTTTAAATCTAGTTTTAATGTTGGAATGCTGTTCCACAGTTTGGGGGCAAAAAATGTCTGAGTTTAACTCTAGATTGAGGGACAGTCTGAAACATCTGACGGTCTGATTGGAGGGACCTGGAGCATCACAGGGCTCTAAGAGGTCAGAGATGTAGGAAGGAGTTAAACCATGAATGACTAAACAAACAGGAGGATTTTGAAATCAATTCTGAATCTCAGAGAGAAGCTAAAACAGGTGGCTGTGAGGACCCAAGGAAAAGCTGCACAAGCAAGAGACAGTAAGGTGAGTCGCAGTGTAGCCCAAATGAGAGGGATGCCTCTCAAATGGAAAAGCCTTCATTTTCCAATATGGAGTGGTGTGTGTGTGTGTGTGTATACAGTCAAATATTATACCAAGACTGATCACCAAGCTCAGAAAAACATCCATCCAGTTTAATTCATGGTTGTAGAGGGGCTGAGCCAGTCAGAGCTAATAGAGAAAGACAACTATTCACACCTGTTAACGCTCACACATTTGAAGTGTGGGACGAAGCAAGAATATCCACAAGGAAACTGAACACATGCAAGTCAACTTCAGTAAAGCCCCAGCTTATTGTTTTGACCCAAGGACCTTCTTGCTCTGAGGCAATAGTGATACACCAAATGAGGTTTTGAAAATACAAGTATCTGAAGAGCACACACTGTCAGTTTATACAGAATAGTCATTTATTGGATTCAAATGCAATTCCAGAAATGTGACTTTTACATTTAGAAGGCATTTGACAGTAGGGCCCACCTTCCTACTGATGCACAGCATCTCTGAAAAGCAGCAGTATCACATAAAAATGGCTGGTGTTTGACAGAACAAAGTCACAAGTAAGAGTTTACAATGTTTTAGTTATACCAAGAACAAGTATCATTTTAAAACAAAAACCCCAGAATAATGATTACGCAAAAAAAAAAAAAAAAAAAAAAAAAAAAAAAAAAAATCACACAATCGTGACGTCCTCGGAGGTTATCCGCCATCAGATCCTTCAGTCATACTGCAGTCGATATCCGTTTTGACCAAGCTTCGTCGCACAGCTTATTTGAGCTGTGGGTCAGCTGTAGTGGCAGACTCCATCATTGTGTCACTGTCCCTCAAGTCAGATTGGTCCACAATGATTAGGGGTCCCAACACAGAATTGTGACTCTGACCGTCTGATGCTGCAAGGAGAGTTGAATTCATGAGTGGTGAAGCACAGCCTGCTTCTTTAAATCAGATTTCATTTGAATCCCTTTGAAAGTACAGGTCTGATAGCATGCAGTCACATTAAAGACACATGAGGTTACCCCATTCAACACCCCTCCTGGACCGAGACTTGCAGCTCAAGTCACAGCAGTTACAGAGGGAGCTTCGGGATGGGTCATCAAGCAGCTCCCATCTGGAGATGGGGACAAAAAGAAAAGCAGTCATGTGGAGCATAACTTCCATATTCAGCAAGCAGTGTTCAGCCTGTTAAATGAGGAATTAAAACACAAAACCCTGTAGTTCAGCAGTATGAAATGCAGTTTAGTAAGTACAATTTTGCTCAAGAACACTTGAACACTTTAAGTAAATCTCTTTTTTAAGAGTTCCGATGCTAAAAAGCTTATTAAATGAGTGTAACAGTAATATAATTTCCATTTATCCAGAGACTGAGGAAAAAGGTCAAAACTTGTGAAGTACAAGTTGTTGAACTCAATAATCACCTGTTAGTTCCCTTTATATAATGACAGGCCTTCTTGCTTTCGGCAAAATTTTGAGGATCCCACACAGCCAGTTTACAGTGGATGTACACCTGAGGAACACAGGGCTCGAATTAAAGTTCCTTTAAATATTTATTCTTGAAATAATTTAACCTGTTCTCACCTCTCTGAAACCAAAGTTGAAGGACTGGAGGTAGAGGATGATTGCAGAAGAGTGGTACCGAGGCAGAAACATCGAATTCTCTTTTTTGCTTTCTAAAAGACACCTGGAGAAATTGGTAAGTCAGATTACCAATACGCATCGCTTCCACTACACTGAGTACAAAGTCTGAACAGTACTGGAACCCTACCCCTTGTTTCCAATGATTGGGTAAACCTGGCTGCTGGGCCGCAGCTCAGCTGTGGGGGCTGCGACACATTCCTCCATGAGCAACAGCAGTGGCTGATGAGACTTCTGCTCCACTGCTGCCCATATTGGCATGGGGGAGCCCAGAGGAATGATGTTCGTCTTTGCTATGCTTGATAGCTCCTCTGTGGAAAAGTAAATGCTAAGTAGTGTGCGTTTTAACACGTGCTTGTAATTTGGCATGGTGAGAAGTTACCATTGAGAAGCGCCATATGGAAGACCAGCCTGCCGTGACCCTCGGAAACCCCATATCCAGGGTTCACGAATCGGGGAATCCAATCCTTGGGTCTGAAATAAAAAAAATATTAAGAATGGCAAGATTCTACATTTCATACAATTTCAGTTTGAGAAAAAAATACAAGTGTCACAAACCTTCTGTAAACACATTCAATGGGATGCACAAAATCTGGAGGGTTTGGCTTTGTCTGTGGCCTGTAGCTCATTTCATTCTGATAGAATATGCGTTTTCCCTTTACCTGCAAGACGGGAAAGCAAACAAGTGATTAAATTAGAGCTCACAAGTGAGTGGAAGCTACTGAAGTTGCATCTCTCAGAGTACAGTACCATTTTAGTAAACTTGCACTCGGAAAACGTATAGTTGAACTGTGCTTCCCCCTCTCCAGAGGGCAGAACCTTCCACTGAGATGCCATGCAGTTTCCAAGAAAGAGTCGAGCTGCATACGGCACCAGCTCCGCATTCACCCTCCATGTCACCCTCACGGAGTTGTTTGCACAGACCACATTGATGTCTGAAAAATAAAACAAAACTCACGGTCATCTTTTATGTGGACAGAAACACTTAAAAATTTGTATCTGCGCATATATGCCTGAAATCCACCCCCCCCAAAAAAAAGAATATATATACCTGCATTGGCAACAGTTGTTGCAAAAACAGCCAGGACAAGCAAATCTAGGTAGAGATGAGTCCCCATGACTAAACAATCCTGTACACATTGGGACCAACATGCTTTATGAACTTCTTGCTTAATGACCTCAACCATCAACACCTGTGTGAAAGCAGAGCCCACGAATCACAGACTCAGAGTGCTCTATGAGCTCATCACTGTGTGATCGGGTGGACCTTGAATGAGTGGTATCTTTACTTTTACATTTCTTTTTCTTACTACATTTGCTTGACAGAATTTAGGTTTAACGCATTTCCTTCCTCTTATCAGCATCTTTCTTCATCATGAGAAAAGATTAATGTTAGACTTGTTTTTTTCTAGTTATCTTTGGAAATGCCCAGTCTTACAGAAGAAAGTGACACGTGTCATATCATAGGCCACTGAAACTTAGAGTATTACTTTCCATAAAGCTTACAAACTCTATGTGGATCAGTAACTTGACAAGCTTATTTGAGTTTACTTTTGTTGACATGCATGCAAGACTTGGAAGAAATATCCTAGAAAGCATAAATCAGGTAAACTTACATGTGCACGTTTAGTTGGCAGTTGTCTAAAATTGTATTTTTGCACCAACAACATAATTCCCAAAGAAAGCTGAAAAGTTTTAGCACAGTGGGCAGTGTCCTTAATGAACAGCTAGAGCACAAGTGAAGAAGAGGGAGGACTAAAAGATTATCTACAGCTGGTATTCAGTATCTGAAAGTCATTTCCTTAGGAAGGGTGGCCGTCAAGAAGCCATTCTTAAGGAAGGAAGAAAGGGGTGAGGTATACCAAATTGCTCAACAACTGGACTGAAAATCAATGAAACAGGTCTGGGAGTGATGAGTCATTGTGACTGGAATTATGGTCTGTATGTATGGAGGAGGTTAGGAGAGAGGTGAAATAGTGAGTGTCTATATGGTGGAGGCTCTGTCATTGTTTGGGTCCGTATTTCAGCCACTGCTGTTGGGGATCCTGACAAAACCATTAATGCAGAAAAGTGCCATCAGACTTTAATCCACCATGGGAAAACATGTGAATGGCAACAGTTTTATTTTTCAACACACACGCTGACAATGCAGTAAAAGCATACGTGGAGAGAAAAACACCATCATCAATGGAGCCAGAGCCTGCACCTCAACAAAATTGAAGCAGTGTGGGCTCACCATGACAGAGAATGGGACAAAAGGCAGGCGACATCCAGAGAAGAGCTTTGACTGTTCTTCAACTTAAAGGCTACCTGAAGAAATGACAAAAAAGCCGCCTAAGAGAGTTCAGACTGTGATAAAGAATAAAGATGGCCATACCAAATATTAACTTTCAAGCTCATTAGACTTGTACAAACTGTTTTTGCCTTATATTCTGCATTTATGTGTATTTTGTGTGCTTCAATAAATCACATTTTCCTGGGAAATTATGCGGAAATGACGAGTGATTCAAGACTTTTGCACATAAGGACTACTGTTTATATTTGTTCTTTTTGCAGTTCAAAATAAAGTATAGATGAGTACAATTCAGCGGAGGCAATATTTTTATATGATGTTGCATCACTACTGAAAATCGATTACATAAATCTATAATGGTATAGCTTTTTGGAAGTTTGCTTTTATTTAGCTGCCATGATTTTACTTACCAAAGCTTTTGTACATATGGGGTATAATTCAAGCCGTACAAAAGTACATTCTTTTGTTCACGTGAAATCTGCCTGCGACTTTAGAAATAGATGTAATGAAATAACAGATATATTGAAATAACTTAGATGATCTTGTATTTAGAAGTTAATACGTCAGAGAGGAACAAAAATGCTGGTGTGTTGTGACGGCGTCATGTCCGGAATGTTAGCCCGTGACACAGGAAGTAAAGTCCGGTTAGCAGAAGAAGTAGATTGTTATTCGGCAATTTGCTGTTTAGTTCACCAAGCTGTTCATAAAATTTGTTAGTATTATTTTCTTCATTCAGCATGTTGATCAAAGTCAAGGTAAGAACATTACTTTCTTTGATTCTAGCTCGGGCTCCATGGGTGGTGTTCAGTCCCGTCTCTGTTTCTCGATATCCCGCTAATATCACAGAGCCGGTTCGCTCATTTATTTCAGGGCCTGGGGCAACAGAAAACCCAACTTACACGCGACATGCTGTGAAACAGATCAGTGTTAAGCACCCGATCATTCAAGCGAAACTGCTCTTTCTTCACTGAGTTGCTATTGTTTGACGTTTGCTAACATCTAGTTTTGGTGACTGAAAACAGGTTAGCCCGTGCTGTACTACAACCACTGAATAGTTTATAGTTGTGACAAAGCAAAAAGGGCAAAAAATGTTTAGGGTTTACGCTACCGATGACACGAGACTTCATTGTGTACTTGCGACCGAAATGTTGACGTGTTTCTAAAGTTTAACAGAGTCTATAAACAGAGACATGGCGACTTGGCTAGTAGTGAAAATAATCAGTTTTTCCATTAACCAACACGGGCATCCTTTTCGAAACAGCTGTATGCAAATCCAGAGTTCAAATCATCTGGCAAAATTACATCAAATTTTGGATCAAAAATTTCCAAAAAAGTCCCAAAAACATTTATTTTAACCGTAACTGTGTGACAGTGTTTATGTACAATAGTATAGTAGCTGAAATTCCCTGGCAGCTTGGCTCGAGCCCAGAGAAAATCCTTGGTGAATTCCTCCTTCTTCTTAACCATTTAGGATTGTGAAAGTTCAGTGTTTCTATAATCGTTTTGTTATGTTTCAGACTCTCACTGGAAAAGAAATAGAGATTGACATAGAGCCCACAGATAAGGTAACATCTTGTGATAAATAGTCCTTGTTATATGCAGCTGCTAGATTTTGTTGCTTAATCTCTTGTTTTTGCTCAAATCAAGGTGGAGCGGATTAAAGAAAGAGTGGAAGAGAAGGAAGGGATCCCACCGCAGCAACAGAGACTTATCTACAGTGGAAAACAGATGTGAGGCATTTTGCTCTGCAGCTATCTGCATATGATCTCCAGGTGTTCTCCTGCAAACTCTAATCATCTCCTGTGTTGTCTTGTGAACCTCAGGAATGATGAGAAGACGGCAGCAGACTACAAGATCCAGGGAGGCTCAGTGCTCCATCTTGTGTTGGCGCTAAGAGGAGGATCAACAAACCACAGTTGCTGCTTACCCCTGTCCTCCACGTCATGAGTCGCTGTCATCATGGGAAGCCGGCCGAGTGCCAACGCTTTAGGTGTCTGTCATCGTCTAACCATGTTTCAACGCAGAAATCTGAAATCCTCCGTTCCAGGCCGACGGAAACGACAAAACAAAACAAAAATCAACCGGAAACATTAAAAAGAAAAAAGGACGTTCTAATTCCTTTGTACTTGTTTTTGAAATCCCACACTGGCTTTCTGAGTTTGACCAGTTAATGCAGGCACCCATGAAGAGACAGTTTGACAACACTGTGGTCTTTTTGCTTGTGAATAAATGATGAAGTTGATCCAAGTGTTGTCCTCTGATATATATACACATATACACACACACACACACACTGAAATCAAGTCACAGCTGAGGATTCTGGAAACAGTTTTTAATTAGAAAATGACATGAAATTGAAGATTGAAAGACAATCCAAACTGCTGTCAAATGATTCCTTCTGTGTCTATAATTTAGTTAAGGTAGTGATACAAACAGTCTGGTAAAGACTCCAGTGAAATCCATGTAGAGCACCGTTGCTGACATCCAGTACGCGGAGTGGTTTTAAAAGGGGTTAAGATGAGTTATCAAAGTCATATGCTGGCTTTGTTTACAGTCATAAAACTCTTGTGCTTATACTTTGAATATCTAAAATATACATTTTCCAGACAGCATCATGCGTGTTTTTCCTTTTGCGTCACCATACACTTACATCAGAAAATAACTCATTTTGGTAAACAACAGACAAAGAATAGCATTAAGGAAAATCCTTGTATGGGAGTGATTAAAAAAACAAAACAACTCAAAGTTAAATAATCTTGGCCTCAAAAGCTAAATATTACATTTTAAGAGAGGATGAAAGGCACAGGAATGGTTCAGGACATGGATATTGCTGATCAGGTGAATAAAGGGGGAAAAAAAGATGAAGGACTCAAGGTTGTGTTTAAAAGCTTCCTTTCATCCAAATTTCATATATTTGCGTTTCCTAATAAAATGATGTGTATCTGATATAATAAATTAGTTGTAGTAGCTCATTAATTAGTGTTTGCCTCCTCTCAATCAGTGTAAAGACAAATTTATTAAAAGCATGCATAAACTGCTGTGTGTGTGTGTTGATCTGGTGGATGACTGACAGAAGCCCCTCAAAGTTTATATTACTGTGGAGTGAAACACTGAATACAATCAGCTGTAGCAGCTTGTAAACAAAAACCCTGAATGATATCTAATAGACAGTTGTCGATGCAACATTAAAAAAAAGTATTTTATGTTTTTCCATTTTGTACCTGCATATTCCAGTGTCCACTCCAATAATCTCCTTGATCTATTCCTGAGGAATGGACAGATGCAACTCCATGCACAAGGCTTCTGAGAGAACCGTGTTTCTTACACATAGAAACAAGAGATCAGGGTAACCGAGGACCGGCAGTGTGTAGGGTGTGTCAGTAGAAAGGCTGCGTCAGAGAGAAACGACGCCCGCTCATTCACCCACAGACTGGTGTCTCAGTCCTGTTGCATCGATTGGCTGAGATCACTGACCGAGTCCAGGGAAGGAGTCGATCTGGACCGTATCCTGAACAGCTGATCCTTGGCTGGTGTAAGAGATGCGGAGCCTCATTTTTAGATTGACCTGAAAGGAGAAGCAGGACTTAGATACACACTACTACACTGAGCACTACGTCTCCTGTGATTAGAATACAATAAGCCTGACATGGGGCACATATTGCAATGATCATGTCAAATACAAGATATTTGTTCAAGATGAGAAAACACCTCGTATTTTAGCATTGACACAGAAAGATTGCAGATACAGTCAAGCAAAAAGTAAGTGCAACCACTGAACCTGTTGGCTTTTTGACAGAATTTAGGAAGCAAAAATTTGGATCTCTTTAAAAAGTGCCTGATATAAAAACACATTTTTGTTGTCGTGCTCA